GCGTTCCTGGAGGCGTGCCCGGCGCCTGGCCGTTTCCGCGGGATGGATACAGAGCCCTAAAACCTGAGACCGGCACCGCGGATCCGACGGCTCCTTAAGCGCCCGGCTAGCACCCAGGTCTTGTCCGCAACTTGGCCAATAACTCGGGGCGGGGCGGGGCGGGGCGGGGCGGGGCGGGGTGGTCTAGGTGATATGCACGGTGGACGACGTGGCGCGGAGCGGCAGCCGGTAGGCGCTACCGACCGACGCGTGCCCGCCCCGCCCCGCCCCGCCCCGCCCCGCCCCGCCCCGCCTGATGGGAGCCTCTTTCTGATTTGTTCCGACACACCCACCCCTTAATCTCCAGCCCGGCCCGGCCGGCCGCTTCCGCACAGCGTCGCTCCGTCTCTCTCGCACCTCCACGGCACGCCCCGGGAGTGCGAGCGAGACGGAGCGACGAAGAAAGCGCCGTTCGGGACGAGCGCGCCACCGGGCGCCCTTCTACGTACCTTTGGCAACAGCACGGCCTATTTCTCCTTATGTGGCTCCTTCAGTCTTCCCGCCCCTTCTCTGTCTGGGCCACGCGGCCGCTCCGTCTCTGTCTCTGTCGGCGGGCCGAGGCCTGCCGCGCCCTGCCGCGCCCTGCCGCGCCCTGCCGCGCCCTGCCGCGCCCTGCCGCGCCCTGCCGGCGCCCTGCCGCGCCCTGCCGCGCCCTGCGCCCTGCCGCGCCCTGCCGCGCCCTGCCGCGCCCTGCGCGCCTGCCGCGCCCTGCCGCGCCCTGCCGCGCCCTGCCGCGCCCTGCCGCGCCCTGCCGCGCCCTGCCGCGCCCTGCCGCGCCTGCGCGCCTGCCGCGCCCTGCCGCGCCTGCCGCGCCCTGCCGCGCCCTGCCGCGCCCTGCCGCGCCCTGCCGCCCCTGCCGCGCCCTGCCGCGCCCTGCCGCGCCCTGCCGCGCCCTGCCGCGCCCTGCCGCGCCCTGCCGCGCCCTGCCGCGCCCTGCCGCGCCCTGCCGAGCCCTGCCGAGGGCGGACCCGCGTAAGTCGGCGCCCAGGCGCGGCCAGGCGTCGCACTTAGGGCCGTGTTGCCGCAGATTAGCCCGAAGAGGCATCGCCGTGCTTAGCGCGGAACTAGTTACGCACAAAAAGCGGTAAAAGAAACGAGAGAGAGAGGGGGGGGGGGAAGAGAGAGAGTGGGGGCTAATTTGGCGTACTTTCTTCTTGGCGTGTTCGAAACGTCAGTCCGGTGTTCGATAGGCGAATCAACAAGGATCCCCGGCCATAATGCAACAGAAACCAGACAAAAAAATTCAAGAAGGTTAAAAAAGACTCACCAAATTTAAAAGATTTGACTTTTCATTGTTTGATGTTCATGCCCGCAGGTATATACTGGTGCTGCTGGTGGCCACGCGGGGTAAGAGAAAACCCCATCCTGCCCCAAACCCTAAAACCCCAGAAACCGCGATAAACAGCAACTGCACCCTAACCCCCGCGTTTTGCTCACGTTTATAAAAGGCCCCCCAGGCGATTAAAGATTCATGGTTTTTCTGGGTACTAAAAAAATAGGAACAAACCCTAAACCCGGCGCGTGTCTCGCGGCGTAAAGCGCGGAACGCGCAAACAGGGCGCAGGGAATTACAACGCGGCCGATGAAAGTTTTACGCGTCGCCATGCTCTCGCTCTGTCTCTCTCGCACTCACGGCGCGTCCCGTGGCGGTGCGAGAGAGACAGAGCGAGGGCGCGCGGCGGCGGAGGCAGTCCGCTTCGCACCTCCATTCTCATTTCGCAGCCGCGGCGAATAGTGCCGCCTGGCCGAATGCGCGCTGCAGCGACGCCACACCGGAAGTTATGGGGTTTTCATGATGAGGCGTTTGAAGGCATTCAATGCGGCACCACACTGTGGAGAGAGAGGGACAGAGAGAGAGGAGGGACAGAGAGAGAGAGTGAGAGAGAGAGAGAGAGAGAGAGAGAGAGAGAGAGAGAGAGAGAGAGAGAGAGAGAGAGAGAGAGAGAGAGAGAGAGAGAGAGACGAGAGCGAGTGACGGAGCGCGCCTGCGAGGTAGGCAGTGGTTCCGCACCTGTGCGAGCGGGTGGCCTACCCTCGCAGGCTGTCTGTCCGTCCAACAACAGATCCGACGGTAAAAATTTCGCTACGTATGTCAAAAAGGCCAACTTTCTTTTAAATTTCCTTTTAGAAGATGGTACTACCATGCTTTAGCCTCACCCTCACCCTGAGGCCGCCGCTCGGCCTTAGCCGGCCGTTTTCGCGCGGCGCGCGAACTCCGCGTGTTTTTGGAACGCGCCCCTCGCCGTTAATGGCGCGGACAAAAGTGGCCCATAATTCGGGTTTGCGCGTCGCGTTGGTCGCGGCGCCGCCGGTATCTGCTGATGAAATCGGAACGAATCGCAACGAGAATCGGAAGGGTTTTACGGTGCCGTCCGGCCGGCCGGCTGGAGGGGGGACAATTATCGGAGCCAAGGCGAGAGAATCTTTCTTTTATTATTCACTTTGCCGTAAAGCACGCGGACGGCATCGACTAGCCATCGCCGTCGGCCCCCAATGCAAATCTACACGTTTTGCAGCTCGGAATAAAATTTTACACTGTCGTCAGACTCGGCGCGGAGGGGCCAGGCCGGTACGGGCCCCGGTCGTAAAAATGCTCAGACAAATATCTAGGCGAGACGCGGAGATGTCCTCTGCCGTCGCGTCGACCCCTCAGTCGCACAGTGTGCCGCCAGGCTGCGTCGCTCCGTCTCTCTCGCACTCCTGCGGTGCCTGCGGCGCGCCCCGCGAGTGCGAGAGAGACGGAGCGAGCGCGGCTCGGAAGCGACCCGCAGTGTCGCCGAGGCGGTGCTGTTTGACGCGGTGACCCGCCACCCCGGCCGGGCCGCCCCTATGACAGCGCGTCACTGCTGCCGGCCAGCCGGCCAGCCAGCCAGGCCAGGTCGCACCCCCCGGGAATTTAATACTGCCTAAGAGGGAAAGCTTGTCAAACTGACTGGGAGCACCCAGTGACATTATCCATTGCGTACTCCCCCTCCCCTCCCCTTCCCCCCTCTCCCCCTCCTCCTCCCGCAGCTCAGCGTGCTCCTCGCCTCCGTGTTTGGCAAGGGTGATGTGCTTTCCCTGTCCTGTTCAACCGACCCGACAAGTGCACTGGAAATTCCCCGTACTGGACGCGAGGCACGGTAGTACGGTGTGGTGGCGGCGGTGTCGGGTGCAGTTTGAAATTTCATGAGCGCCGAGTGGCGGGGCGGGGCGGGGCGGGGCGGGGCGGGGTGGTCTCGCTGTCGGGGGCCGTTTTCCCCTCATAGGGGACTTGACGGCGTTGTCAATGCTTAATAGCGTTTCGAAAAGGCAATCGTGGAAAAAGGCCGCTCTGGTGGCAGCTGTCCCCTACCCCGACGGGCCGGGCCCCTCCGACGGGCTGGCCAGGGCCGAGCCATGCCCCCGCCGCGCCGCCCCAGGGCCGCTCCCCTTTTGCGTCTTCTGCTACTCCACTCCAATTTTGACAAGTCCTACGGCGCCCTCCACCCCCCGCCCCGAAAAGCACAACAAGAGTGGCCGAAAGCTGCGCAGCAGTGCATCACTGCGACCTGCTGCATTTCGCGATTGCTTCCCTTTTCCTTTCGATTAAAACCTCTCTTCGCCCTTATTTTTCGTGTTTTCTTGTCCTTTCCTATTTTGGCCGGGGCACGCCGGGTGCAAAAGGACCTAGCTAGTGTTCAAATCGCGGCGTGACGAAATTATAATCGCAGCAGAGAGAGAGAGAGAGAGAGAGAGAGAGAGAGAGAGAGAGAGAGAGAGAGAGAGAGAGAGAGAGAGAGAGAGAGAGAGAGAGAGAGAGAAAGAGAGAGACTATTTCTCCAAGCGTTCTTCTTTCTCTGCGAAATGTCGGCGCGGTGGCACACTGTAGGCGGTGGCAGCAGTGTCCCTCCCTGCGTGTTGCACTCCTTGGTAATGAGAGATGACGTCCCTGGACACAGGCAGGCAGCCAGCAGGCAGCAGCCCTCGGGCCGGCCGGCCGCCAGCCCTGGCGGGGGTGACTGCTGTCCCTGTCACAACCCCGCCCGCCCTGCCGCGCCCTGCCGCGCCCTGCCGCCCTGCCCTCCACTTTCTGTGGCCATTATCACCCACCCCGCCTCCCCCGTGGCACTTTTCAGGCCTGATGGATTCGGTCGGGGCGGCGCGGCACGGCACGGCACGGCGCGGCACGAGGACCCAGCCGCGCTGTGCGAAACCGTGCACCCCGTGTCGATCCGGAGTGAGTGAGCGCGTCACCGGGATCAAGGCTCGAAATTCGCCGAAATGAAGCGTGTGGAGTAGAGAGTGTGGCGTGGCGGGGCGTTGTGGGGCCTTCATGTTCGCGATACAGTCATCGCGATGTCGGCGCCTGCCGTTTTGTAAAAGCATCCCCGTGATGGGCTTTTGTCCCCGCCTTTGCTCTCCGCCTGCTTGGTGGTCCAGCCACTTGACGGGAACCTTTCACGGTCACTCCCCGCCCCGCCCCGCCCCGCACCCTTTCTTTGCCCAGGCATTGTGCCTTGCCGCCACTTTCGGTTTCCTCCTCACTTGTCGCGGGGCCCCGTGCTGACGGGGAGCAGCACTAAATGAACCTAAACCTAAACTAATAAAAATAAACTAATATAAACCTAAACTAAAAGTCCCAACTGTGAGATTAAAATTTCATGTCGGAGTTTTACTGAAACTTTTGAAATTTTTGTAATTGACCTTTATATTTATTAAGCCTTGGACGCCTGCTTCTTTTTGGTTCGCTACTGCGTCACCACTTGGACAGAGTCAGTTTAAAAACGTGAGGAATACATTGTTTTAATACTGTCAAAATCCGAGCCCAAGGCTAATTCTCCTGACTTTGGTGGTTTCATGTCACATTCCCCGTATTTGCACCACCCGCGACGACAAGAACAGTTATTTCTCGAGCACGGAGGTCCCGATACGCGTGACACAGCTATTAGGAACTTTAACCGCAGTAGTAGTGTTCCCAGAACAATAAAATCCTGTTTTTGGTGCACGATTTTGTAAAAAGTCGTGAGCCGTCGCCACCGAATTGTCCTATATAAGCACCGACGGGAGCTTCAGTGCCACAAAATCATTCCACCATGTTCTCCAAACAGCTGACTATCTTCGCTTTTGCAGGCCTCTGCCTGGCGGTGAGTACGACCTTCTTCATTTGCCAGCTGGCAAGTTACCTACACTGTTGAAAAGACATGGCTGCGTGAAACGCGGATATTTTTTATTTGCTGGCCCGGAAAAACTCGCTGACGCACCTGTGTCACTCGTACTGTTGGTGGATGCAACAGGTGAAGTGTGCGATACATGGCACTCTCTAAATTAAGCCTCATGGTGAAGATTCTCTGTATTCTGCTAAAGATTTCTCCGGTGGTGAAGTTTCTCTGTACTATTGTGGCGGTGCAGCAGACTAAGTAGCTTTCCTCCGGAAACTCATTCTATATCTTGTAGATAATTTTTAGAATTTCTTCTCGTATTATGGAGGAAATGTCCATTTTAATAATTTGTCGGCGCAGCCAGGAGCCGTTTACGGTGGCGGACACGTTCCTAGTTTCGAACGGCCACCGGTGTGCCTCTCGGTGTCCCCCGGTCGAGCCCCCGGTGCCCGGCCTAGCCTACCATGTCCATGTCCATGTCCAGGCCGCGCTGCTGGTGTCCGCCGAGGAGGGGCAGGTCGCGCACGTGCTGGTGAAGCGGTCGGGCAACGACGGTGGCTGGTACCGGCGGCCCGGCAGCCCCACCATGCGTCGCACCATCAAGGTCGCCGGCGGCCAGCAGGTCGACTACACCGTCGACGCCGCCACGGGCCACAAGACCTCCAGCTACCTCGCCCTGGGCAAGAACGCCCGCCAGAGCTCCCCCCAGCGCACCGGCCAGCCGCACTCCGGCGGCCAGCCCAGCACCAGCAAGCAGGGCAAGAAGGGACACTGACCGCCCCGCCGCCCATCGCCGTGGTGGTGAACCCAGTCGAGATTTCGGTTCTCTTCAGTCAATAAAGAAATTACCATGATGAACTGTCTTGTTTGTGATGCTTTGACACAGTCGGGCTGTTTTCTGGGCCGGGATGGCCAGTGGTTCCTCGCTGTGCGTCTCTCGCATCTACGGGGCAAACGAATGGTCCCTCCGGAATAATCCACCTGACCCCGATTGAAGGACGGCCCCTCGTACCGGCCCCGTCCTCTGACCTTATACACCGCGCACGAGATCAGATATCCCGGCGGACCAAGACGAATGTCACGTTGGCCGAACGGGCCGAGCGAGCCCACGGGCCCACGCACTCGGCCGTGTCATACACGCGTGACATCGCTCGCTCGCTCGCTCGCTCGGGGCCGCGGCCCGATGCGAGAAACCGCCCGAGGAAAAAGATTAATTCGCGGTTTGAACACCGACTGTCTGCCTGGCTGGCATTGCTGGCGTGGCTAGCGCCGCGGGAGACGCCGAGGCGCGCGGAATGCGACGACAGCCTCATCCATAGCGATGGCCGCGAAGCTGCGAAGGCGGCGGTGGAATTATGCGTACAGTCGCGCAAAGTGGGTCGAAGTGAACGGCACGACAGCGCGGCGGCGGCGCGAAAATAAAAATTGAAACTCGAAAAAAAAAGTCGGTGTGCTCGCAGCAGCAGCAGATTCGGGCTCGCCAAATAATGATGATAAAGCCATACGCTGGGCTTAACCCTTTAAAGCCCTTTTCCTAATGCGCGGCGCGCTGTCCGCGACGAGGCCCCAGGGGGGCAGCGCGGCGCGGCACCGCCAGCAATTAATACCTGTCGCATTGTGCCTTTGCTAATGAAACTTGTTGTCCGGCTCATCATCAAGTGTGAGCTTGCACCCCCTTCCTTTTCCCCCACGTGATTTGTCAGCCGGGACGAAGCGCGGTGGCGCGTGGCGGCGCGGACCGTTATGAAAAATGCAGCGGCCCGCTTTGGGCGTCGCTCTCTCTCCCTCTCTCTCTCTCTCTCTCTCTCTCTCTCTCTCTCTCTCTCTCTCTCTCTCTCTCTCTCTCTCTGTTACGAAAGCTCGCTGGGTTCGTCTGCTTGCTGTATTTTTCATACTGCCGGATTTCTCATGGCAGTGTGCCGGCGAGTCACGGCGGCTCTTTGACAGTTTGACGGCTCGGGGGTCGTCACGTCGTCACACTGCCAGCGCCAGCTAGCGCCAGCATGGCCGGCATAACGGGGATCGCGACGTCGGGGGGCGGAGGCCGTGGGCGAGGCCGTAAGTAGCGTCGCCGTGGGCGGTGGCGGCGGCGGCGGCGGTGGTGGCGGCGGCGGCGCTGGAGGCGGCGGCCAGGTGGTTGCTGACTGGACCGACCCTGCCTCGGCGTCCCGGACCGCCCCGGACCGTCCGGACGGACGTCCCCGCCGCGGGGCACGACATAGACGAGAGAGTGGCGGGGCCAAGGCGGGGCGTGTTGGAGACGCGTGGGCGTGTGGACGAGGGCGGGCAGGACGTCAGCGGCAGCGGGGCACGGCCGAGCGGACCGGCCGTACAGCGAATATCTGCGTGAAAGATCCTGGATACACAGTTCCTTTGATGCTTTGTGTCTTCTAGTAATATAGACATTGCTACTTTGTGTACTCATTTTCGATTATTATTGCCATTTTTTTTTCGGTTCAAAAGTAGGCTTTATGCCACTTCTCGGGAATTTGGTGAGTAGTCTGATTCAACCTCCGCTGCCCCAAATCCATAAAAGCATAGCTCCCAGAATTTTTTTTTTTCAAAATTCCTTCTTTTTATTTCTATTTACTTTGTTTTTTTTGTCCCCAATCTTTTTTTTTTCGAAGTGAATCAGTAACGTTGCACTCTAGCCCGAGATGGGCAGATGGCGTAGGCGCCGGGGGCGGGTGTCGGGGGCGGGTCGCGGGGGCGGTGGCGGCGCGGGGTGGGTAGATGGCGGCGGGGGCGTATACCGCCGCGGTCCAGTCAGTCGACCCAGCAGAGCGCTCGCGGGCGTGTCTGTGTGTTTGTGTGTGTACCCACACTGGTGCTGGCCGAACGGGCCGACAATGGCAACTAATTGGTGTCGCCGAGGCAGGCGTATACGCAGGACGCGGGCAGATGGCCGCGACACTGCGACACCCACCTGCCGGCCCTGCCGGCCCTGCCGGCCCTGTCGGACTCGTCGGCTCTCGTCCTCCATCCCGCAATCCCGCAATACGTTCAACCCCCGATTCAGCGCGCGAGTTTTCGACGCCGCAATATGCATACGAAACGACGGCTCTTGTTGGGGTGTCTCAATGTGTGCGCCAGTGTGTGTGTGCGTGTGTGTGGGTGTGTGTGTGTGTGGCTGAGGGAGGTACTGGGTGGGCAATGACGTCATTCTGCGGCCCCAACGCGACTTCCATCCACCGCCAAGCTCCCCCTCATGTGCGTGTGTGTGTGCGTGTGTGTGTGCCGCTCCGCCGCGCGCGCGTTTCGCAAATACAATAATGTTTTGGTTGTTTCGGCTATTGGATTCAAATTATCCGGCGCCTCGCGCGGGTCGCGCGGCTCTGGGGACAAGCGGCCCGTCCCAGCCAGTGTACCGCCGCCCTTCCCGCACGTCGACTTCGATATCTCGATCAGCAGAGGCGATCCCGGATGACGGTGCGTCTGCCATCCGGAAGAGTCCCTCGCGTTACTTGGCGACGAATGGGAGCGTTCTGGGAAATGTTATTACGGAACTCGGAGTGCACAGTGGAGTGGTGGTCAAGGGGACGGCCACACGCCACTTTGGTCCGAATGGCACTGCATTCGCTGGTAGCGTGTGGTGGTGGGTCGGTCCGAGCGAGGCGACTGTCAAACCCGCCGTTAACAAGCTTACAAGCAGGCAAAAAGTGCTACAAAGTCTATTGGGCATGGCTGGTCCACCCTACACTTTGTCAAACTCCGCACTACCGCCACTTCCTCGATTTTGATGAGGACCTTCGTCGACCTGGCGCGGCATTTCCCGTCTTGTTTTCCGAGTCGCTTTGCCTAAATTTGTTTTGCCCGCCCCTTTTATGAATATTCACGCGGCGAAACAAGGCTGAGCGGCTTTCCGTCTTTTTCACTCGCGGACCGCGGTGACTCTGTCCTCCCCCACCTGGCCGAGGACCCCGTCGAGGCCGTCACCGAGGGAGGACCCCGTCGAGGCCGTCGCCGAGGGAGGACCCCGTCGAGGCCGTCACCGAGGGAGGACGACGCCTGGCCACCCCTTTCGCGTCTCGCGTGTGCCGTCTCATCAAGACGACGTCATTTCTACATTTGCATCCAAATCACTGATGGCCTAATGAGCGCGAATTGAAATTGTAAATCCCTGCGGACCGTCTCTCTCTCTCTCTCCTCTCTCTCTCTCTCTCTCTCTCTCTCTCTCTCTCTCTCTCTCTCTCGCACTCCTCGCGGGCTCGCGGTTGCGTCCCGCGGGGCTGGGCGTGCGAGAGAGACGGAGTACGCCGAACCGTACGCTGTTTGGCCTCTTCCTGCGCGGCTCGCCTGCCTCCACTGCGTTCCACTGGTTCGCCTGGTTAGTGGAAGGCTGCTGCACCAATTCATTTGCGCACTCCCCGCAAATTAACAAGTCCAACTCCGGTGAGGCGCGGCGCGCTAGTCTCACTCAGTCGCTCCATCTGCGTCGCACCGCGGCGGGGCGCGCCGCGAGTGCGAGAGAGACGGAGTGTTCCGAATCACTCCGGCACATTAGGCCGTGCGGGGCGTGGCGGGGCGCGAGCATTGTGAGCGCAGCAAGTTAGGGGCTCATTGGATTAGCGGGGTGACTCAGCGGCCGGCGGGGCGGGCGGGGCGGGGGCGGGCGGTGCCGCGATGAGGGGAATGGAGGTAATTCTTCGCGCGGTTTCGACTCGGCTTGGCAGCGCGGCCGCCGTCTTGGAGAGCGCCATTTCGGAGGGGCGTGCGGGGGCGTGCCACCAGTGTGCCCGAAAGGCGCGCCAAGGTGAAGCAGTACGCCAAGAAGTGGGTCTCCAGGCCTAATCTTTTCCAGAGGCGAATATAAAGCGTCCGCCAAGGACGCCGGGGGTAAGCTTGCGGCGGGCGGGGCGGGGCGGGGCGGGGCGGCGGGGTCGTCCCCGGAGATGTTGCCGGGCGTAAGCGCACCCGGGGAGGGGCGGGGCGGGGCCGCCAGGGTCGCGTTAACAAAGCGGGGAAATGTGCGGGTTTTTATCAAGCGACTTTCTGCGGGGCGGAATGCTGAAAGGAAAGGACGCAATCCCAGCGATCTCCGCGCCTTGCTCCGCGGCCGTCTTGTCGTCGCCGTTGTCGCTGCAGACTGAATCCGAGAGTCGTTTCCGTCGCTCTGTCCCTCTCGCACTCGTGGGGCGACCCGTACGGGCGCGAGAGAGACAGGACGACTCTCGGCACCAGTCCGCTGTTGTTGCGGGACGCTGCCGCGCTCTCAATGAAGGCAGTGTAAATACGGGGAGTGTCGTCGGAGGGACGCAACTGATTTCCACCGAAACAAGAATTTTTTTTTTTTTTTGGGGGGGGGAGTGTTTCTGGCTGTTGTTTCGGGTGGAAAGAATCTCCATTTGAACAGCACTCCCAAAGTGCGGAATCTGCGTGCGGGTGGCGCGCATTCCAGCGGGAAGCCCCGGCCTGCCCTCGCCGCCCTCCCTGCCCGGCCTTGCCGGTCACTGCCGGTCGAAAAAAGAGCGGCTTTTCGGCTCTTCGAACGCGCTCCCCGGAATGCCGTCGTCAACAGAGAGGCCGCACAAGTGTGGACCGGGCCGGCCGGGCCGTCCGGGTCGCTGGCGTGATTCGGCTTGCGTTACCTGGTCATTAGTTTACCTGGGCGAGGTGCGAGGGGCGGGGCGGGCCGGGGCTTCCCTGCCATTCCTCACCTTTCGTGATGAGAGGAATGTTGCTAACCACATCATTTATCGACATGTTTTCCTGGAGTCGTTTCGGTGTTCGGGGCCGCCGCGTACCGCACCGTGCTGCCCCCTACCGACGACGGCGGCCTGCTTCGGAGATTTCAACGCGAGCGCTGCTGCAAACAAGAAACGCGTCATCGATTCCGGCGAGCGACAGCGCCGCCGCGG